GCTTGAATGGAGAATGTCTTTAAAGTTTATTTTAGTGTTCCTACTGACGCAGTTTTCAAGGGCTTTGTTGCTGTTTTAAGCATTAAAGAGGAAGAGAGAGAAATGGATGGATGCATGAAGAGAGTTTCACACACTGTGTTCTCCAAGAGATTTTTTTTTCTTTTTTTCCCCTCTGCTAATGTCTCTCTCCTTCTCCATCTTTCAACTGATCTCTCTGTTTTCCCATACTGAAAACTCACATCTTCATCCCATTGTCTTTTGTGTAATAGCCATCTTTTCCATTTTCAATTTCCAAGTAATTTATTGCCATGATTGTTTTGCATAACAAAGCACACAGTATTAAAATAACATAAAATTATTTTATTTTTAATTAAATTAAGAATATAAAATTATATAAATATAAAATATAAGTTCTTAATTCACATTAATTGTGCAGATAATGCTCTCTTCATTTCTACATGTTTAAGTTTCCCTGGTTTTCTCTCAACTTCCATTGTCATTCTCACTATTACATCAGTTTGCATGTGTTAAAAAGAAGAGAGGTGATAATTAAGACTGATGAAATGAGGGACAGCCCTGTTGAGTTAGAAGCTTCACATTATTCCCGTGAGATATATTCGCTATAGTATATTCACTATAGTATATTCTCATGACAGTTATCAGATCGGAAAATGTCTGGGAGTTGTTCAAGACACATTCAGTCCAGATTCAAGCTTATATTCTCCATCACAAAATTGTCAAACTGGTTATAATAGCTTCAGTCTTTTCAAATAGACAGAATTTGTTTTAAAATGTCAGAGATCTGTTATAGATTAAGAGTGAAGCAAACAAGCCTGGCGAAGAAATGAAGAGCAAGCTGAAGGATCTGAAAATAGCTGGTGCAAAGAAAAGATTGTGATTTGACTGTGGAGAGTGTGTTGTGTTTTAAGATAACACTACAATTATTCTGTCATCATTAACTCACCTTCATGTCGTTCCAAATCATATGGTTGTCTTCTATCTGTGGAACACAAAAAGATGTTTATAAGAAAGCTGACATGCTCTTTGATAGCATGTGAAAAACGATAGAAAGCATCACAATAGTATAAAATTTATGCACAATATGAAAACGCTTCAGATGTCATCTCATAGCTTTGACATCAGCTAACTGTTTACTGATTTCTTTATCAAAGATAATCATGAAACTGGGAAGAAAGGCATTAAAGCAGTTTTAGCTATATGATGAATTTAACTCACGCATAACCAGCAATATATGTCCACACTGACCGAACTTTCCAAGGAACAGAACAGAAAAAAGGTGGACAAACTCTGACAACGCCATTATTTTTCAAGAATTGTATGTTGTATTTTGGATGATAATGTCCCCGGTCTCCGGATAATGCCCTCAGTCAACCAGCATAAACCAGCCTGTAACCTAGAAATTCATACTACTCTGAGAAGGTCTATGGCTGTGATAAACATGAAATCAATTCATTTGTTTTCCATAATGTGTCCAAACTAGTCTGAAATGGCTACGGGATTATTATTTATTGTTCTTTTGTGATTGTGATAGCGCATTTATGTGTTTGGGGAAAAAGGGACAGTGCTGAGAGCTGTATGCAGGAAATAAAGAAGGAATAAAACTCATTAGTGACTGAGAGCTGTTACTGGCTCTGCTATAAATCACAGGGCTATGTGGCCATATGTTGAGTAAAGGGGAAAACCGAGGTAATATATTGTCATTGACAGATTGTATGTCAATCAAAATACCATAATATGTTTGCAGATATTTAGGAAACATGCTTAGTTCAAATACTTATTTCTCAGAAAAATAATGCTATACAGCCAGTTATTCTAGGTGCATTCCGTGTCAGAATGTCTATTTTTGTTTTGAACTGTGCGAATATAGGCTAATAGCGTAGTACAATAATATTAGTGGTAGGCTATATAGTATTTCATTGTATTTTGACACCACAGGTTGCCAGTTGGCAGAAACCCCAGTGAGCGAACTGGGTCAGAGATAGCAGATTCTACAAAACTAAAAAGCCTAAGCATCCATCTAAAAATCTCTATGAAAGGGAGCATATTAAAGGGTGGTTGATGAACTCACCTTTTTAACTTTAGTTAGTGTGTAATGTTGCTGTTTGAGCATAAACAACATCTGCAAAGTTACAGCGCTCAAAGTGTAAAGCAAAGGGATCTATTTTATTTTGCAGAAATAGCTTTTTAAGGATCCCAAACAGCTGGTAGGAAGTCGGGACTACAATGAGCGTCTTCACGGGTTAGTTACATCACTAAAATTTACATAATCACATGACAGAAATGCTAATGTTAATCAGTGACTAAGATGGTTAACTCCACATCAGCTAGGCCTACATAAATTCATCAACTAACCATTCAGAGATGTCCTGTTGCATTCTACATGTTGTCACTTCTTCTTGAGTCTCTCCATCTTTGTCTGACTCCGGTTTGAAAATAAAACGCTAAAAGTTTTTGAAATTCCCAGTGCTTGCCTGAGGTAATCAAAGCTACCACAGGAGCTCTTGAAGCTCCGCCCTCTGTGCAGTGAGCAGCAGCTCATTTGCATTTAAAGGGACACACACACAAACAGCAACAAGTTTTTGCTCACCCTATAAAAAATATAAAAAATATTTTGGGGGTATTTTGAGCTAAAACTTCACACATCTGAGACTTATTTTACATCTTGTGAAAAGGGCATAGAACCCCTTTGAAAAGACACATCGACTCATCAGCTTAAAGGGTAACTAAACCCCTGGTCAGGGCCTGACTCCACCCACTAGCAATATTTGAAAAATGCTGAAAAAATGGGCAGACCCCAGCGGGGCTAGGGGGCGTGCACCTGAGACCCGCCGTGAGTGACAGCTGCTGTCAGACTCTAAAATAGAGCGAGACTGGTCTGGAGTGACTCAAGTAGCTGCCTTTGCAACAGAGCGGCCATTTGAAGTCGAGGACTTTTCTCCCTCACCTTCACCTTCACCTTCACCTGAAGTGGATGAGGGTGAATTGTATGTAGACACAGGGCCAAATCCATTCGAGCTGCTGGCTCAAACTGCGGTCTTAACTCCCGCATCGCGACACCGGCATCTGATGAGTTATGTCGTCGAGTTGATCTCAATAGCGCACGCTGGCATATTCATATTGATATTATGCCGCTATATGAAAAAATCCAGCAAAATGCACCGGCTTGTTTGTCGACCCCAGAGGATTAACTTTATCCTAACCATAAATTGTGATTAAAATATCCATGATCACTCACATCAAGACGCCGCTGCGGTGTGTTTGGCACTGCGTGTGGAGAAGCCCATGTCCACCTCTATTCCGTTACTATCCTGATCACTGTACTAAACACTGATAAATCTATGCTAACTTGAAGCTATCCTAACTGTACTATGCTACTAGCTACACAAAATAATCTAAATTATCTATATAATGCTATGCTAAATAGATGCAACAATACTCTATCCTGGTCGTTTTCAAAAATAATCTAAATAACTATATAAATGCTATGCTAACTAGATGCTATTATATGCTATCCTGATCGTTTTCAATACTCATAAATCCAACTCCTGACTCGCTACAGTAGTTTTGACGGAACCAGATGCTTTTATACCAGGGGCTGCCAAGGGCGTGGTGAGCTCGCACCAAGGGTGTGACAGAGTGCGTCTAAGAGTTCGCTACGTCAGCAAGTACCCCTACTGCAGGAGCTTTCCGTTTAACCTGAAGAGGGCAGCACTCAGACGTTTTTACACCATATATTTGAAAATCAAAACACTTTATACTCAATTGTCAAAAAATGTACTCGAATCAATGAACAGCATTTATGAAGCTCCATTCTTACAGATCATTAACTAAAAAAAGTTGTTTTGGTGTTTAGTTACCCTTTAAAGTGTGTAAGTATCCTCACCTTCCATTGTCAATTGCGCTCGCTCTTGTTGCGTGTCTTCAAACTGGCAACTCGCATGAGCATAGAGTCTCAGGCAGGGGAAACAACTCTCCAGTATTTAGAATTTGAACTAAATCCATTTCAACCACTGGCTAGATTTCAATGTGACATACTGCACATTTAATTCAAAATAGTTTGGAGCAGAACAGAGAACTTTAGATTTTGACCAACTCAGCGGCACAATATCTGGTGTGAATTCAAGCACACACCATTTACAGTACATTTGCAGCTCTTTCTTACCTTATTGCGGGCAGCCCACACCCCAGAATCACACAATTGGCAAAAGTAACACGATGGATCGCTTAAATGAGCTTGAAAGCTCCACAATGTTCAGACACTTCAGGGAAATCAGTCTACGAATGGATATCTTATTGATCCCTCAGCACATTTAACGATCCATTAAACAAACTCAAACAAAGAGAGTAATTTAACATCCCAAATACTACAAACCTTTACCTATTATGTAAGCAACAACACTTTGTGGGTATATAAATGCACATCTTTATGTGTTTGAGTTTGAGGGCATACTGGAGGTTAAAGTGTGTGTGTGTGTGTGCGTGTGTGTGTACGAAAACCATTTAACGAGATTCAATGGCTCTCCAGTGTTCTGTGAAAGATGAAGGTCTTCCCCCAAGCTACCCATGGCCATTTTCATTCGTTCTACTGATTTCCCCTATCACCCCATCTGCCTCTCTACCCACAATCACTTCTCCAGAGCTGACACATGGCCTGCAGGGGGCCCGCGTCTGTGTATGTGTGTGTTTGTGTGTGTGAGTATCTTGAAACACCTGAGTCATCTGAGTTTCTTTACCAAAAAGAAATTGAGGTGTGTGGGTTTGTTTGCCCTACGAGCACATCTGTGACTCGACTTGTGAGCACATCCGCAAAGGGAAAGCTGTTTCTAGATCCAAACCAATCACGTGAACGAGTGGAGTTGGTGTGAGTGAGTGGAGGTGGGGCTAATTTGCATATTCATAGAACAGCGTACTAAATGAGGCAATGGTGTAGAGTATACATTGAATCTATTTTAAGACATTAAAATATCTTCTCTCTCTAGATAAGGTGGATGACGAATTGGAGATGACAATGGTCAGCCATCGGCCGGAGGGTCTCGAGCAGCTCGAGGCGCAGACCAACTTCACCAAGCAAGAGCTACAAGTCCTTTACAGAGGCTTCAAAAATGTATGTTCCCCAGCATTTCTCCTTCAATCCCACATCAGCACATTTACTTTTCACAAATTTCTTTTGACACATTTTCACAAGCTAGTGTTTATGTAATACATCCTTACGCCGCAATATCTTCTCTTATGAATCATCGCATCTCATCTGCATTTACTGTCCCTGTGGTCCTGTTTGCCATGTCTCATCTGTCTTTAAAACTCTGTAAACTCTTATTGTTCCTCTTTGCATTATCCAGAGTGTCACCAATCACTGTGAGCTAGCCTCAAGCAACAGTCAGCTAGTCATATTTCAATACCAACCTTCACACGCTGCGTAGACACACACATATACAGTCAGCAATACACCCACACAGCAGCTCATATTTGTTGCATTAAAACAAGCTTCACCAAATATACAGAGTAGTTCTCTGGCAGTGCATCTATTTGTACATCTCATCAATCTATTTGAGCACTTTTAGTGTCCTTGTTACACATTACTTGTATTTAATTATAATCATATTTAATGATTACTTTAGTAATTATTAGGCTACTTTAAATGATTATATGCAACAGCAACTAACCCTAATCTTAACCCAATATTAAGTAGCTACAGTTCATTATTATTATTCAGTACCTAATGTATAATTACACCTACTCCAGTTTTTTTTTTTTTTTTTTTTTTTTTTAGAATCTGGAACTCCCCCAGAATTAAACAGTTGGGTTTTTACCATTTTCAAATCCGTTTTCGATATTTAGAAGAATATTAATAACCAGAATTCTGGTCCCATTGACTTCCATAGTATGGTCCCATTGACTTCCTTTTTTCCTACTTTGGGAGTCAATGGGATCAGAAACTGTGTGGTTACTGATATTCTTCTGAATTTCAGAAAATCGGCTGAATGAATTTGAAAACTGTTTAACTCTGGGGGAGCTCCAAAAAAACTGGTGTATCCCTTTAAAATGAAGTGTAACCCATATATTTATTTATTTTTAATTTTTTTGACAATAAAGTCTGCAGAGCTCAAGTTATTATATTCAATTATGCAGGAATCCGTCACAAGCCAATAATAGTGTTTTTCCCCCTTCAGGAGTGTCCAAGTGGAGTGGTGAATGAAGAGACATTTAAACACATTTATGCACAGTTTTTTCCACATGGAGGTACTTGATGTGAAATCCTTACATGCTTCTTACGATACATTTCAGGGAATCTTAAATGTTTAATGTTTTCATCTGTTGACACTGCTGTTCCAGATGCCAGCACATATGCACATTATCTCTTCAATGCGTTCGACAGCAGAAATAATGGATCCATAAAGTTTGAGGTATGAAGACTATGAGTCTATGTGCACTCTTGGCACAGTATGATATGTATGTGACATTGCACACAGAATTTATTTTCTCGCTCTCTCTTAGGACTTTGTGATGGGACTTTCTACTCTGCTGCGGGGGACAGTCAGAGATAAACTAGAATGGACATTTCATCTATATGACATTAACAGAGATGGATTTATCAATAGAGAGGTATGTCATTATTAAAAAGGTAATTATAATAATTGATTTATTAATTATCATAATTCAGTAACTAACTCAATGCTCATGTACTTCACAGGAAATGACGGAGATAGTGAGGGCCATCTATGACATGATGGGGAAGTACACGTATCCAGCTTTAAAAGGGGATGTACCGAAGCAGCATGTGGATACCTTCTTTGAGGTCAGTAATAAGTTCATTATTTGGTGAATATTTAAACATGCAGGTCATATTTTAAAATAAAGTGGGAAAAAACTGATCTGGCCAAAACTGATGTCCGGCCTAGGACAATTGACATCTTCACTCTTTATTCAAATTTACTTTTAAATGTGTATAAGCATATTGGGTAATTGTGCTTGGAGTCAGTTGTTTTCTTTGTGATGAAACATGACAAATTGTGCAGACATAATTTTCTTGTCAAGCTGTCATAATATATATATATATATATATATATATATATATATATATATATATATATATATATATATATATATATATTGCAAAAACAAGAAAGAACCAACAAAAATGTATAACATATTATATTGTAGTCAATGACTTAATAAAACATGCATGTAGTTTGCCTTTTTTGCCAAAGAACTTTGTCAGATAAATACCTTAAGTTTAGCATTTTGTTCGTCCCTCATATTTTTTTAAATATATATTATTATTTTTGAATCTTAAATATTTTCTTCATATTTTGACGGTTTATTTCAAATATCCCCTCATGACATCACTTTTGGCCACTACTATACACACATACAAGCATATTTTAGCAACATTATTAAGAGAAGGCTCTTTTTAACTCCATACTCAGATGAATCTTATTAGATACTAAAAATGTGGTTCAAAATTAAAATAGCTACATGTAGACTTAATTTCCTAATTAATAATTGATACATTCCTTTCTTTCAATTTTGAGGTTAAATGTACAGTATGAATAGTGATATTATCCATTCCTGTGCTTGATTTTTACAGCAAAAATGACAGAGCAACTTAAATAAATGATCTCTCTCCTATACAGAAAATGGACAAAAACAAAGATGGAGTTGTAACGTTGGAAGAGTTTGTCATTGCCTGTCAGGAGGTATGTTCACATACTGTGATTTCATTTCAAAGGTTTTACATTTGCCTTAGTCTTAAAAGAGTAGTTCACTTTTGAAAAACCTTTTAATGTACTCACCCCCGTGTCATCCAAGATGTCCATGTCTTTCTTTCTTCAGTCGAAAAGAAATTGTGGTTTGTGATGAAAACATTCCAGCATTTTTCTCCAAATAATGCACTTCACTGTGAACCAAAAGGTTCAGTACAAACTGCAAACTGTTCAAAGGGCTTTAAACGATTCCAGACGACGAATAAGGGTCTTATCAAGCAAAACGATCGCTCGTTTAAAAAGAAAATAACAAAGTTTAAGTTTTATAAGCTCAATGGTCGTCTTGCTCTGTACTACGATGCACGTTCATGACTCTCCTGTTCGAGGCGAGCTCGTTCATCAAAATGAACAAATCATTTTTTCGACTCATTTGGTTCATTCAACGAACGAAATGAACGAATTGACTTTTCTGTCTATGGAAAAAGATTCATTCATTTTGACGAGTTCGAACAGGAGAGTCGCACAGAACAGAGCAGGCGACCATTTAAAACTTAAACCGCTTAAACCGCTTAAGACCTAAACTTTTTTTTTTTTTTAAATGAGCTATCGTTTCGCTTGATTCGTCGTCTGGAATCGTTTAAAGCCCTTTGAACAGTTTGCAGATTGTTTTTTGGACCTTGCATTCAAAATTCTTTTCGACTGAAGAAAGAATGACATGGACATCTTAAATGACATGGGGGTGAATAGCTAAATTATTAGCAAAAAGATTTTTTTTTTTTTTTTTCAAAATTGAACTAATGCTTTAAGGTAAATTCAGAACCATGAGAATTATTCATGGCTTAAAAAATAGTTCACTTAAAGATGAAAATGCTGTCAGTGTCAACATAGCCTACTCACCTTCATGTTGTTTCAAAATTCAAAAAGTATGAATTTATTTCTTCTGCTAAACACATAATATAAAATATTTTGAAGAATCGGTAACCAGTGATGTAGGCTTAGTCCATTGATAATAGAAAAAAATCACATGAAAAGCCCATAGGGAAAAGCCATAGACAGTAAAAGAAAAGCCACATGTAAATCCTCTGACGTTCATGCAATGTGATCCAGTTTAACTGAAAATAGTGTGTTGCCTCGGTGTGGTCAAAAAGGTGTACTACATCTAAAAGTTTCTCTTTTTCTCACAAGGATGAAAATATGATGAGATCCATGCAGCTCTTTGAAAATGTGATGTAGAGAGAAGATCAACCAGAAGAAGAAAGGAACAAAACAGAGAGCGGGGAAAAGAAAGCATGGGGGATTGTATGTTTAAATGTGTTATATTTCACCGGACTGAGTTCTGGGGGAATATTATGGCCTGAGGGAATCTTAGAGGTTCGTTTTTTTTCTCTCTCTTTTCAAATCTTGTGACATATTTAATGTTGTCTTTTGCTGGTGTTTTGGGAAACTAGCTATATCAGCCCATAATCCACCTTGATCCAGCCACAGAAGACTACATGTTTGAAAAGCATTGTGCGATGATCAGCTTCTTCCCTGTGAAAACAAACGTGTCTCAAACTTTTTATTTTTTCATTTTGCTTGACCCAAGGTCAGGACTCTTGGTGTACTGGGACTGCAAATACAGCCTCTTTTGCTTGCTTTCTTGCCAAAAGAGCTTGCATGATAAAAACCAGCAGATGTGTTCCCTATGAACTGCTTGAAATAATCTTGGCCTTCAAAATATCTATTTATGTTTTATGGGGTTGGAGGAATACTCAATTGGATGTTGATTTCAGTGTCTTGTGTTGTCACAGTTGTTTGTTAATAATTGCTGTTTCCAGTCCGTCCGCTTATGTCTATCTGTCTCAGTATTTGTCAAGCCATTCCAGATCATAGTGAATAAGGTGGGACAGAAGTTAAGTGTTAAGTCTGTGAGGAGTCCTTAAGAGACTGACAATCTAGGCCCTGGATACTCTAATGCCTTCAAGTAGGACAAAACAACAAAAACCCAGATTACTTATATAAAATAAAGGGGGGAAAATATTTATATAGAAGTCGAGTGGTCAGGGTGAGTCGAAAGAAATATAAGCTATATGTATATAATTGCAAGTATGGTGCCAGATAAAGAAATGTCCAGTGAGGAGAATACAAACTGTGAAAACTAAATATCAGACATATGCTGTGCAATTCAAATCTCAGTCAAAACTGATTAAAATGTTTGTGGAATAATATTCAGCTGCGTGTTTATTATTATTATTATTATTATTATTATACTCTTTAAAGGGTTGTGTTTACCTTTTAACAGAGGATAGGGTTCAGTCTGTTGGGTTATTATTTTTATGCAAGTGCTGGAAGGCATGAATGACATGCATTTATTTATTTATTTATTTATTTATTTATTTTTTACTTTATTGTGATATTATGTCTCAAATTCATTAAATGTTTAATGTTAATCAACTATGTTGTTTTATTAAAGTCTTTCACTGTGAATTTAATATTTTATGAAATGGAGAATGGAATAGATCAACAGTTCTCAACTGGTGGGTTATGACCCAACAAATATATGTCATAAACGACAGTGAATAACCTGGCAAAGGATAAATAGTGTACTATAAAGAATAGCAGAATAAATTGCGTTGTTAATGAAAAATAACTAACTAAATTAATATCAGTCTTCAGTATCCTATATCAAACTACATAATTTGGTAAATCTGTTATGTGGTAATTTCACATCCAATTCTAACCACCATTCCTCAAAACAAAAAAAAAATCCAAGGCTTTGGCAAATTCTTCTAGAACAAATTTTAATTGAAACAAACAGTAAACTAAATGTGCATTATTTTTTTCAATACATACAGTTTAATGTTTCACCTGGATACATCTCATGTTCTGTCTACATATGAATCTCTGTCTATGGGTTCATGATTGGCTGGACTGGAGAACCGTCCCATAATGGGCGTGGTTTACTCAATGTGGGTTAGTGTGTCCATCCCACACACTGGAGTTCGAGTAGCGACACAGTTCAACCTACAGACACACACATCACACAACCTACAAAGATGGATCTCGAACAAATGGGTCCCCAAACATTCTTATACGGTATGTAATACTTACCTTGATCCGTTCTGTGCCATAGTCTATTAGTATAGTACGTAAACGTGGCAATATGCATTTTGAAGTTAAGAAAACTGAAGATGGCGTAGTGTGGTAGCTTGTCAGCTAACCCAAGTTATATTATCAGACTCAAAATTGCTTAAAAGCAAAGGTTGGTGTTTCAATTAGTGTAACTACAGCGTATTATATTACTTAAATCTCTTGATTTGGAGTGACAAATTAAAGCACGTGTGCAGCATGAATTCGCACTAGCTAACTTAATCGATTAGCATAAGATTATGATTCCATAAGAGTCAGTAGTTAACCCTGACAACTTTAATGATCAAATTCTAAATAATCTTAAGAATTAAATGCATTAAAGCAAAGATAACTGAACCCTCACAGCACAGCTGATGTCTCCCTGCACGCGCTCTCTAAACACGTGGACTGGCCTTGGCGCTCCAAAATGGCGTCACTCTACTAACGTTACACGTGTTAGATGAGACAGCGCATTGTGTGTAAATTTCGCTTGAGAGCTTGCTATTGAAAATTGTTCATTATTATGTAGTCTTGTTTTTTTCCCCTTTGTTTTCCTGACAACATATTTGCTCGAATTACACCAGTTCGTAACTATTAGTAACGTTATCAATGAATAACGTTTATCTTGTTAACTTACTTAAACGTGTGATGTTTGGGGAAACACAGCCCCCATTTTAGTGTGCACATTTAGGTCTTTAGTAAAATTGAAATTTAAACATAACGGAGCATTTCTAAAGCCTCGCCGCTTGGACTTCCTTTCTCGTCAGTTATGTTGCGGTAAACCCCTGTTTGAAATATTCTCAATTAAAACCGGTGCCATGTAGTGAATTGACGGCTAGAAATAACTGTGATATCCATTAGATAAAGACAATCAACGAATGATTTTTTTTTTTTCGCGAATCGAGTTTTATCAGACATAGCGATTCGCTGGCTACAAGAAGCCTGCGTCACGGACCACGTGTCGAGTCGACTGAAATGAATCACTGCATTCGTTTTGAGAGTTTCACGAAAGTACCTGTTCTCTGAAGTTAGTTACACTACCCATTACAAACGATGTATTGATGCCTTTTTAAAATTTAAATAAACTTTTTGTTTGTGTTTACAGGTTGTGAACTCAAGGCAGGCAAGGATGTCAGTTTTAATCCAGAGGATGATGATTTTGATCATCAGTTATCAGTCAGAATGGTATGTTACGTTTGCTGTCAGATCACTCTGGGCCTCAAAGTTTTAACAACATTTAAATGTCATAATTAAGGCATTTGTTCTTGTTCCTTCAGGCCTGCGTCGATCCCACAACAAAAGATGAACTGAACGTTGTGGAGATTGAAGGGCAGGATTCAGAGGGTCAGAAGGTCAAAGCAGTTCTGGCCACACTCAGGCCTTCCACCCTCCCCAGTGTAAGCAGAATCAGTCATGTCATTTCACACTCCTTTTGAGTTGATCTGGAATTGCTGTGGTTGATATTAACTAAAAATTTGTTTGTATCTCAGGTGTCTCTGGGTGGGTTTGAGATCACTCCACCTGTCGTGTTCCGTCTACGCTCTGGTTCCGGTCCAGTTCACATTAGTGGACAGCATCTCGTCAGTGAGTTCTTGATCGTACTTGGTCTATGATTTATTAACAGTTGTCTCGGATAAACGCATGGAAAACTGCTTCGGGAAGCCTCAGTAAATATCTTATTGGAATCTTCCTTTTGTCAGTCATGGGAGGAGACCAGTCCTTTGATGAAGAGGAAGAGGAGGAGGAGGAAGAAGAAGAGACAGTGACAACAGGCAAAAAGAGGCCAGCTTCATTAACTCCGAAGCTTTCTGTAAGCTCTTAAGTTAATTTATAGCATTCATCATAATGATTCGATTTTGTGGCTAATTTTACTGTCTTTCATAGAAAAAAATGAAGATGGAGGAAGAGGATGATGATGATGATGACGACGAAGATGATGAGTGAGTGTTGTCTTCAGTGTTTTAGAACTGCCAGCTATTTAAAATAAAATAATAACATTTTACCTGCCTTTCCAGGGATGAAGATGATGATGAGGATGATGATGAAGAGGAAGAAAGCTTTGAAGAGTCACCTGTAAAGGTCAGATGAGTTGTCCAGACCCCTTAAATCTTGTAAAAATGTGTGAAAGTGTGATCAGAAATGCTTATTTCATATTTTCCCATTGTTCTGTCAGGGAAAGAAGACCCCATCCAAAGCACAGACCCCTGCACAGAACGGGAAAGGACCTAAACCCAACACGCCTGCCAAGCAGGTTAGCATCTCTCTCTTTCTCCTTTAAGAAAATTGTCAAGTCTTGAGTTGCAGCATTTGCTAATGTTTCTTTCTTCGTTGATTTGATATGCTCTCACAGCTCAAGACTCCAGAAAAGAACAACAAGGGTGACAAGAAAGCACAGTCGCCCAAAACGCCACAGACGCCACGGGTTTTCACTGTCCCAGAGATCAAGGCCAAGATGATGGCAAGTGTAGAAAAGGTGTGTTTTCCCTGACATCCTCTCTGCATAAGGAGTCACAATGAGTTGGTGTATGTGGTTTGAAAATACCATTCTACACCACAATGGAATATAGTGTAGTTGATCTTGCCAAGATAATCATACCTGAAGTTGTCACTTTCAATAAGGTAATTTCCCTCTTTTTTTGTAGGGTGTATCACTACCAAAACTACAGCCAAAGTTTGAGAACTTTGTGAAGAACTGCTTCAAAGCCACTGATGCAAAGGTATGTGTATTGCTGTTTTTCTTTGACTTTTTCAAAAACATAAGATTATCTAAGATTGGAAGTGAAATGTTGGCCACCACCGAGTTTATCAGATATTTGATTTTAAAGTGTTTTAATACATGTTGCTGCTTAATTATTTATTAACATTAAAAAAAAACCTTTTATGGGCATTTTTCCCTTTTTATAAAATGTAAAAAAAAAAAATATTTTTTTAAAAATTTTTAATAAATAATGGTTTCTTTCTCAACTGTTCACTTGTGACATAAACAAGAGAATACTGAAAGAGACGTTATAAGTCATATTGAAATGCTCGCAAAAGAATCGATCACAATTATAACAACTATCTGATTCCTGACCTTGAGCTCCAGAATTGGAATCGATATTCGATTCCTTACCGTAGTTACAACTATCACAAAATGATCGTAGACAACAGTGAATTTCATGGTGAAACACTTAATTGGAGACTGTCGTGAATGAAGGTCTTAACTCTTCTGTTTTTTTCGAAGGTCATTGAGGAGCTCTGGAAGTGGAGACAGACCGTCAAGGAGAAGAACTGAGAAACTTTCATTATATTAAGTTTTTTTTTTTTTTGCCCATGATTTTACTTTGTTACCTGCAATTTTATGTTTGTTTGTCCTCCCGCATACTTTTCAGTTTTGTGCAAATCCGTGCCATTCCTTAAAGACTTTACTCAGAACATGACCTCTTTCATCTCTGCAATCTGCCCTCTCCACACCCCTGTGGTGTTGTCATGTCCATAGTGTAGCCATCATTTGCCAGCCTTGTTGCTCAAATGTGATCCTGAGCAGAAGAATTCAGCCCTCTTAATTTATATGGAGAATTGTTGTTTGTACCCGTCCATGGTTTCTTTAAATGGCATGTAAATGTGCACGGCATTCTGTTTAGAGATGCGACTGAAGTTGATTTATTGAAATATTGAAACGCTTGACCTAGTTTGCAAATGCGTTAGTGGGTTTCAGAATTCCAGTATATCTGCAGGTCATGTTTTTTCTGTAATTGTCAACATCCTGTAACATGTTCGAAGGTGGAATGTTTTATGTCTGGGATTGAGAATTAAGAAATCAATGTCAACATTTTGTATTTTAGGCATTGTCACAGTCTGTGCAGCTAAATCTTAACAGAATCAGTACTCCATCTATGACTGCAGTTCAGGTGTGGTTCTCTTGTTCACCCTTTTTTGACTTCCTTGAATCTGTTTAAATGCAAATAAAATTTATATTTAACAGGTTTAAGTGGTTACTGTGCAGTGTTTTGGATAAAAACTATTGGATGAACTAACTGTTTGGCAGTTTATATATTGTGCCATCTCATGGAAAATAGTTTTTGCATTAGTGTTGCCTTAATTCACCATGCTGAAAAAAATGTAGATTTTAAAGGGATTTTTACTTTTCAGTTAAACCTATTGAAACAGTAATTTCTTTATTTACTTTTGAACAATGTAAGCTTAAAAAAACATTGGACTGGTACAAAATATGAAAAAAAAATGTACAGCATCAAAGTAAAACAATTTTTTTTTTAAAAGCTATCAAATAAATGGCATGGGCTTGATCCTGTATCAAATTACAAAAAAAATAAGGCAAATTTTCCAATTAATGAAAGAATGACAATTCCTTGTGTATGTTTGGAAGTGTTGTAAAAAAAAAAAACTATTCATGTAAAAAAGTATTTCCCAAGAATAATATTTAATTGTTAATGTAATTCATCTTTTATAAACAGACCAAATATTATATTTCCCTTTTTTTTAAATCAACAGTAGCAATGTTAAAAATTCCCTGAAAGGACTCCATTAAGATTTTTTTTCAGTATTTATATCATTTTTACCTCGTGTAACCACGGCCATGTCCAATCTGAAGGCATGGTCTCTTCGGTCTGCGCAAGCACCGGAAATATCAAAATTGAAAATGCTGTGAAAACAAAGACACCTACATCTTGGATGTCCTTGAGGTAAGCTAAAACTTAATTTCAAAGTGAACTATCCCTTTAACTTCAACATCAGTTGTAAAGTTACAAACTGTTGAGAAAAACCGAGGGCGTCACTTCGCTTCAATGGTAGGCCATTGTTTTCACATGTAAAATGTGAGGTTTTTCGTTACGTTTAAAAAATAAATAAAACATGCAAAGTCAAACGTTCTCTTTAATAAAAGTTTAATAACATGTCATGTTGTTCATTGGTGCCACTGTGGTTTGCCATTTTGTCAGACAAGACATTATCAAATGTTTCAAGGATTTCTTCCATAGGCCTATTTATGTTGTTCTACACCTTTGTAGAATTTAAATCAAGTTCGATTATTTTAATGTATTGATTATTTGAATAGCTTTGACATTTGTATTATACTATACTTTACTATATTAAATCTAAAATTCTCATTGGAAGAATCGCTGCTGTTAGACTAACACAAGAGCAAATTTGCACATGATAGCCAGCAGAGGGCAGCAAAACACCACCCTTTACAAATCAATTTGTCGGCTAGTTGAGCAACTGTACAAGTGATGTCACTGCTGTAAATGTGGAAAGGAGCCAGGAATACATCCTGTGTAAATTATCCTGAGCATTGAGTCTATATCACTGGGGGCTTTCTCAGATGACCCCGACTCAACTGTACACATCACCAGTTAAATAGGCCCTGACACAGGTCACTGCTAACCATCTGTCGACAAAGAGCTGTGGCGAAACTCCACAGGTTCACCCTGCCGAGGCTTCGACAGCATCATAATGTAAGGAGTCTGTTAAATCACTTTATAATGGACACCCCTCCATTTACCCCCCACCCAGCCCTTTAAAACAGGTCAGTTCCTGAGAGTCAGCACTTTGGGAGGAGGGAGTTGGTTGCAGAGGGCATAAAGGCATTTTTATGGTCCCACAGGATCCTGCATTTATCTGCTCGAGGACATAAGTGCTTCTTTGCTGTGGCAGGCATAATCGACTGCAGCCAACTACCAAGACGCGGTGTTTATTTGTCGATCAAGTTGTGTAGAACGCTGGTAGTACCTCAGAAAGCAACACATTACTCCAGAGAAGAGTGCTGCTTAGGGATTTGCCGAAAACATTAGGGGAATAGCAAATTAAGCAAAGCACACGTTTTGTGTTAATGCCAAAACAGAATGTTTATTACTTTTTTGTTTGCTATTTACATATTTATCAAATACAAAGTATAATAAAGAGTTTGGAATGCAACAGCACACCTACATCATATAGGGGCGTCTAACAAACCCTTGTTTCATCTGAATTGTTCTTTCTCTCTGACACACAACATTCAGCCATCGAAGTCACTGCTGAATAAATCGAACCGTTAAAATATATTGCAACCGCCCCCGTATGACGTCATATGACTCTGTTCTGGACGTTTCATGCGATTCCTCATACGGTCGGGATGTGGTTTCATTAAAATAAAATAAATAAATAAAAAAGTAGCTGGTAAACCCTTATAAAGATGAATATTTATATACTATCCAGACAACAACAACAAAAAAAAAGTAAATTAGATGAATGGTTGAAGAGTGTCTATTTGTGCGTGTTTGTGTCCAAATGGCCAGATTGGGGGGCATTCTAGGTTGTGCAACTCACATTATAAATAATTAAATCATCATTACTTCCCTTTTCTGCATTAATCCTGTATTTCTGAGTGGTTGAGGAATTACACAGGGGGCAGGAGGGCAAATGAAAGGATGAAAGAGAAGATCAGTGGATCTGTAAAAGGGTCAGCTGAGATGGCCTGTTGCTTTCTACAAGGTCACTTTGTCAATGAAACTGATCCTAATGGGGATACAAGTCTCTGTATGCACAGACACACCACAGAAAACGGCCATCATTTATTCTGCAGAAGCTCATATGGGTTTGCTCGCTGTTGGACGGCCGTAATTAGTTCCTCGCTTTTTTTGCGGAATGAAATAGTCTTTCGGGACGGAGATAAGGTCAACCAACATCCTAGTCCATCAAAAAAAAAGAATGAGAATGTCATTTCCTTGTTGAGTTCTGGTGCTCATACGAGCGCGGTCACTCCTCCGAGCTTGCCACTCTCCTCGCTTGCCCAAGGCTGGAGGTTCTGCAGGGCGAACAGTGAGGAGTTGTGGATGCAGAGTGGGTCTGATGGAACTGAATCACTCAAAGACTTCTGGAAGGCATCGTGCTGGAGTTGAATCATCAGCCGGTTGGCCTGCTGACGCTCTGCCTCCCTCTCCTCCGCTGTCTGCCGTCTGACAGGTGAGAAAAGAAATAGAGAAAATTAGTGGAGTGGAAGTTGTTGACACAAACTTGCTCATTAACTGCATCTAATCAGTGGTTAGAAGAATCACAAACACCAATCTTTGAAGAAAAAATTCACTAACTGTGTGAATATTTTACAGACAGAAATAGAATTTGGATAGAATTGGTCTAATTTTGTTGACATTTTTGAGAAGCACACAGCTGAAGGTTTCGGGGGAGTGTAATTGATTAATCGACCCGACGAAATGGTGAATGTAGAGTTTATTTAAATATTAAATATTCAAACGGTCCCTCCTCTTCTCCAAAATGTGGCATGTCGTTAGTGTGTTTGCCTTAATTAATAATTCATATATCTTCCTGACAACCCCCATTATTTTCCCATTAATTCTTACAGATGTTACGGCCGTTAGTAGGTCAAATAAAAATAAAAAAAATAAATGTTTCAGGTTATTACAAAAACGAATTTGCTTGGTACAGACAGACAGACAGACAGACAGACAGACAGACAGACAGAGACAGACAGATAGATAGATAGATCAACTTAATACTTAAATCAACTTAAATAATTTATATATTTCAGATAACATAAATTTTTGAGTTTCTGATGATTTAATCAATCTCCTTATATGAACTAATTTTTTCCATTTCAATGAACTTAAAATTTTAAGGCAGCCAGGTTACTTTTTTTTAGTTAAACCAACAATATTTTTTTACACTGAGATAGAAAGATAGATAGATAGATAGATAGATAGATAGATAGATAGATAGATAGATAGATAGATAGATAGATCATTTTAGAACATTTTTTCTTTTGTCAAATCAACTTAAATAATTTATATATTTCAGATAACATATTTTTTTGAGTTTCTGATGATTTAATCAATCTCCTTATTGTATTAACTCATTTTTTCCATTTCAATGAACTTAAAATTTTAAGGCAGCCAGGTTACTTTTTTTTAGTTAAACCAACAATATTTTTTTTTACAGTGAGATAGATAGATAGATAGATAGATAGATAGATAGATAGATAGATAGATAGATAGATAGATAGATAGATAGATAGATAGATAGATAGATAGATAGATAGATAGATAGATAGATAGATAGATAGATAGATAGATTCTTTAGTTCTATAGTCTTCTATATTCGTCTTTAGTTTGTTAAATTTAGGGCAATAATTTATATAAAATATATATTTCAGTCCATTCAGTGATTTGATCTTCATTTTTGAAATTTCATAAAGTAAATTTGACTATATTCCCTATATTCCCTGGCTAAAAACATGTTATTTAAAAATCAGGACACCCATTACACAGTATGTGTTATTGGACATAGAAAAAAATAAAGGCTATGAGAAATAATATTCTTGCCTTTATTCCTCTGATCACACACACTACGTTTTACGTCATTTATCTTATATTAGTATATATCTCACTTTCTTTCTCTGTCTCACCTCCACTTGGTCCTGCGGTTTTGAAACCAGGTTTTGACCTGGGCGTCTGTCATCTTCAGAGTTTTGGCCAAGGCTGCTCGTTCAGCACTGGCCAGGTATTTCTGTCTGTGGAAGCGCTTCTCCAGCTCACAGATCTGCACTCGGGAGAAAGATGTGCGGGGCTTCTTTCTCTTAGGTGGTGTGCGGTTCTGGTACGGGTGACCGATACGCCGGGCCACGGTAAAGGGCGTCAGAGCTGCTGTGGTTTGAAGAAGGAGTGAGAGATGAGGAAAATCTGTCACACAGCTTACTGACCTCTTTTTATCACACTCAATCATTTTTCTTAATAGATAAAAAAAAAAGCTTTAGCCTTTTAAAAATGCTATTAAAAGTATGATTTTAAGATACCTATTTTGTGCATCTACACTGTTTTCAGAGTAGGCTGTATATATTAAATCCATTTAAATGTAAAGACAGACTATCCAAGTCCCCACAAAAATGGGCTGTATTACAGGAGATTTTAAATCTATTATGAATGCATGCACTTTTAATCTTTCATTCATTTTTTTATGAGATACTGTTAAGAAGTAAACAGCTTTTTGCACAGCAGACTGCATTAATCAGCCAAAGTTTCTAACTCTTGCTGAGTCAAAGGAAAACTGCGTTCATTTTAAATTACCTTCATGCACTATACCTTTTAGATGTCAAATCAGACATTGTGTTATTGATTGATAAATACTAAAAAAAAAAAAAAAAAACTCATAAATAGATGGATTGCTGATGCTCTTAGGATTTGTTGAGAGGCCTTTTACTCAGGTTACATATAAGCAGTACAATAAAATCACACAAAATATATCCTATTAATGTTGCATCAAATGCAAACACCAGCTGTTCTCATATAATGACAGTTATTTCCCATATTGTTAATTTATTTATTACCTAAAAAACACAGAGCAGCAGATAGCGCCTGTTACCGCAGTAATAGTGGCAATAATTAAAGCTGGTAAAATATTGATATGTCTTTCTAATGACACAGCGTTCACCATTTGCCCCTGAATAAAGAAAGCTGATGATCTGTGACAGCTCTGAACTGTAGAGTTTACATTCATATGCAAAACAGTGGTTAACTAAATATGACAATAACATTTACTTCCATATTTATGTTGCACGAAGATGTCCAATAGGCTAGCCTACATGTTTGATTTGTCTTTATATTCACATATTTTCACCTAATCAAACGGTTTATTCAAATAAAATAGGCTATTTTACCGTAGGCCTATACATAATTTTATGGTTTTAACAATTAGATTAATTATTCAGAAAGGCTACGTGTTACAATTTGTCCGCGCTTGAAGATTAAATTGTTACTAATAATACAGTAATACAACGTAAATTTTAAAAATAATAATATATCTTTATGTCGATAAAGTAAACAGACACTGACGTAAGCTGAACGTGTTGACTTATTGTTGCCCCTTTTCTTTTAATTTCACTCATAAACGGTTCAGGTGTTTCACGCTCTTCGAGGTCAAATTAAAACGAGCTCTTCAGCAACATTCATTCATCTTGAAAAACCAGGATCAAGGTTCCCAGACAGACTGTCCTTCATCAATTCATCCTTTTTACAAGCAAAAAAATGCAACAGCATCACAGTTTCAACAGCTAAAATAAAGATTTTTGTGCATTTATTCTATTTTGGGGAACACGTGGCTATTGCAATAACCATGGCCTAATCCGTCAATATTTAAACATTGAATCCGTATGTTAATACGAATATAAAAAAATGAATATTACCTAATTGTTCAAATGTAGGCTACTTTAGGCCTACTATTAGGTTCAATGTTATTACTAATGTATTATCATCAATAATGAATGTTTTTCTATTTTAGATATTCACTTTTAATGATGCCGTCCTATAAATGAAATTTAAATAAATAAAAAAAAACATTTAAAACAAGAAACAAACACACATACACCAGAGAGTAGCCTTTAAAAGCAGTTTTACGTGTGTCTCCTCAACGATTCTTCTGTCAATCAACATCTAAATACATCACACATAGCCTGTATTAAAACATCATTCATTTAGCGCTTGCGCTTTTTACGGTTATGTTTGTCTTATTAGCGCAAAACTTGAGTGATTTTTGTTTTCTCAGTCAATTTATAATTTCCTGATTCGGACATTTCAAACACACGATGAGATTTTTGTTAGACACAGAAAGGAAATTGAGTATTTATTTACCTGCAAATCTGTCTTTTGCGAAGCGCTGACTGCTGTCCATCCAGGGAAAACTGAGACTCCCAAGTCCGGGCACCGCGCTGGCCATGGGTGGAGGCACGGCAGCGGCCAGGGGCCTGTGAGCCGGGACCCTAATCACTCCTCCGGGTGCAAGGGTCAAGTTCACTCCGTATGGACTGGATTCCTCATATGGGGAAGCGATACCATGAAACGTGCCGGTTAATGTCGTGTACGGCGTTGCGCTCGCTCCCGTTGGGCTGCCGAGATGGTAACCGCCTCCGCTCGCGCTGCTGCTACTCTCGGAATTATTCCTGCTCGAGTTCTGCTGTGACTCTTGATCGGTGCCGCTGAGAATCTGGTCAATGCCGAAGCTGATGGGTTCATGTTGGGTAGGTTGTGATGTTTGACTAGTGCCACTTGGGCTGGAGCTTGAGGCTCGGTCCATCCTCACCAACCGAACCTTTCCAGTGGGTTTATTCCACAGACAATTTCTGACTGCCCTGGAATTGCACTATTGGAAAACTCTGCCTCTATGAGTAAGGGAATCCCTAGTAATATCTACTTTTTTGATGTATTACTCCTCGAGATTCAATTCTTGACTTGAGATGGCTTGGACGCATTCGTCTGTGGGTGAAAAGTTTTTGGCACGAGGACTTGGCAGATTTCTGGCACTCTCTCTCCACTGGATCCCTGCACGAGGCTCTTTGAGGTCTTCTCTTCACTGATTGGACAGCGCTCAATCTCCCTCTCCTTATTGGCTTACATTTTGTTACAAGTCACAAAATATTGTGACATCATTCTTCAAAATGCAGATCATTTACTTCTCAATTTTTGTATTGGTCAAGTATCTCTTTATTATGGACATGCTGACATCAGCATGTCATCATTAGCTCTTTAAATATTTGAGTTTTAACAGAGATTCTACCGTGGCCTCATGTGGAAAATAAAGTGTTCATCAACTGTAGCCTATTGGCCATGTATGGCCCTGCCTGTTAATGCAATTTAATCAGATGAGATGAGAAAAGCATAATTTGATGATTTTTAACCCTCTGTTTTAATGAGAAACTTAAAAACGGCGAGCTAAACAAGGGACTCTTATTATCATTTGCTTTTAAATAGAAAAAATAATCGAAATTTTGATATCGCCTCCAGCAATCAGATGAGTGCTTTTGACCTTAAAGCTGAACCTCAACCTTTTTTTTTTTTTTTTTCTAATATGTCAATCAACTTTAGACTCGTTCTCGGCTTTATTGGATGAAGAGAAACAAATTAAATATCCTCTTTATTTATTATGTCCATGGGGCAGTTGGAATGTGGGAATGGGTCGTGAATTGTTCATATAAAATTATATCAAGATGAAACATATAGTAATGATAGCCTAATATATAGGCTAAATAAATAAGATAAATAATTAAAAGTAGGACTATGCAATAAATAAAAATATGAAGTCGCTGTTATATTAGCCTAATATTCAAATTATGTTATTAATCATGCTAATTGAATGGTCTTGCACATCTTTTGTTGCGTGTTTATTGAGAGCGCGGCGCATAGCCTACTCATAAATGTTACAAAAAATAAACAGTCTGAGCCTCACCAAAGAAAAGCGTCTTTGACGATTTTATTTCGTAGCTAATGGTTTATGTCCAATATACCACAGAGTAGCGTAACATGACATTGCACATCATCTCACAAGTTAAAAACGACTTTTTAAAGTGTTCTTAAATCCACGTCAATTAATTTGTTTCTGTAAAATATTTTCTGAAATGTTATAGTAAATTGAGCTCGTTATAATCAGCACATGTGAATATCTTTTGAGATGCTGTTTAGCTAGCTGTTGCATCCGGGAAGCGTTTGACAGCTGTGCGCCTAAAGGAGCCATGCAGTGTCGGCGTTCGGAGAGCTGCACTCCCATGCGCTTATTTAATCGAGAGTGTTGGGACACCCGATCTTCTGACAGCGGATCTAAGTGGTTCCTTGTAATCTGCCACGTAAAAATGATTATGCTCTTTTGGCCTGGCCGCCGCGTTTGATTAGCTTCAGGGGGTGGGAGCTGGTGTGGAGCAAATCCGTTTACTTTGAAGTAGTTGATATTTTAATAGACCATTAGTGAGTGCTGACGCTAAAAAGCCCCGTTCCCCCGGGAGCTCGGCCCTTGTCCAGCGGCTGAAGATGTTTACGTCATTCCCGTGATGCTTGTTGTTGACCCATGGTCACTGTTTCGCTTTGCTTTTATCATGTTACATATTTCAGATTAGATAGATAGATAGATAGATAGATAGATAGATAGATAGATAGATAGATAGATAGATAGATAGATAGATAGATAGATAGATAGATAGATAGATAGATAGATAGATAGATAGATAGATAGATAGATAGATAGATAGATAGATAGATAGATAGATAGATAGATAGATAGATAGATAGATAGGCATAGATCAAGAAGTTATGATTTTTTTTAGAAGTTATGAGTTTTTACTTTGCCTGAACTCATCAAAATAAGTTAAGAATTTTTTTATAGTTGATACAAGATTCAATTAAGTTTCTAAGTCAGTTAATATAATTCAAGTTAAAATGACTTAAACATCCAAGTTGATTGTATATAAAAAGCAACCTTTACAGTGTATATAGATTACTTTTGAGTTAAACCAACAATATTTTTTTACAGTGCTAGATGATGATAGATAGCTAGATAGCTAGATAGATAGATAGATAGATAGATAGATAGATAGATAGATAGATAGATAGATAGATAGATAGATAGATAGATAGATAGATAGATAGATAGATAGATAGATAGATAGATAGATAGATAGATAGATAGATAGATAGATAGATAGATAGATAGATAGATAGATAGATAGATAGATAGATAGATGTATATATTCTGAATGTACAGAATATTCTTGGTTTAACTTAAAAAATTAAGTAACCTGGCTGCCTTAAAATTTTAAGTTCATTGAAATGGAAAAAATGAGTTAATACAATGAAGGAGATTGATTTAATCATCAGAAACTCAAAGTATTATGTTATCTGAACATGCTGGGTTGTTTCAACCCAATTTGGGTCAAATATGGACAACCCAAATGTTGGGTTAAAAATTGTATTAAAATGTACTGTGTGAATGTAAGAAAATGTAAGTGAAAGTTGAAGTTGGATTAACATTTTAAATGACATTTTTAATCCAACATTTGGGTTTGTCCATATTTGAAACAACCCAGCATTTTTTAGAGTGCATAAATTATTAAAGTTGATTTGACAAAAGAAAAAATGTGATTACAAATCATAAAAATATTTTTTACAGTGTATTATTCTTCGTCGTCGTCTTCTTTTTATTATTATTTATTATTATATAGCCTGGTCTAAAATCAACTTTAAAAATATAACCTTTTCTTTCTTTTCTTTTTTTTTTTTGGTGGGTGTGTATAAATCCATTCATCGCAATAGGAGGGACACAAACGGTTTCACCTGGTAGGGCGCTCGGACCTACTTTTTATCTTTGACCCGTGCAAACAATTTAGCAGCCGAGAACCAATAGATTGATGAAAACTGAATTAAAAGCGTGAAATTCCTCGCTCAAAGAGCAAATAAAGGAATGGTTGGTGGATTGTTGGAGTAATTATGGGGATCTGCATATGAGCGGGCGCGCGTGCCACCCTGCCTCCGGCGCTGTTTTTATTGCGCGTGTCTGCCGTTATCAATTCTGCCGAACATTTTAAATGGGAGTCTGGCAGCCCGCAGTATAAAAGCGCTCGGATAATATGCAAAAAGACGACGCTGCTTTTGAATAATAAATGACGCACTTTTATAGCGGCTTTAAAACACCTGTGATGCTACGATATGAAAAGACCATGATAAGTAATAGTGCATTTAAAAAGGATCTAGTATGTTTTTATTACTATATTTTAAAAAGCATAGAGTGAGAGAGACGGCGGGAAGGAAATGGGCTGAATGAGGAGGGGCTGGGAGCCAGAGAGATATCTGTATTATTGCAATAAAAGCCAAGAAAAAGTGAAAGGCGCCGAAATTCCCTCCCAGCGAAATACCCTGCTTAATGAAAGTTTAGAGTCTCTCTCTATCTCTCTGCCCATGAAATATTCACTCAAATGTTATATAAAGCTCACCGCCTAATGTCCTTTATGGCTTTTCTTTGTTTTTCTGCTTGTTGTTCTTGCTTATTCTTGGGCTGTAATAGAACTCCTTTTAATTTAGTTTACATGGTGCGTCATCTGCGTCTTTCTTTCTTTCTTTCTTTCTTTCTTTCTTTCTTTCTTTCTTTCTTTCTTTCTTTCTTTCTTTCTTTCTTTCTCCTTCTGACTAAAAAAGTGCAAGTTTTTGTGTAAAATAAAAATTAAAAAAACATTTAAAAATGAAAGTAAAATGAATTTGATTTTGACAGTCATAATGTGTGCCATTTTGTGCAGTTAATGTATCAACACAGTGGAAAGTTTGTTTAACCCCATCTGCTCATCATGTTTCTATAATAATTAAACTTGTGCTTCACTCAAAAACCCAGCCATTGGGTTAAAATTTTAATTTAAAAAATGTAACCCAATGGCTGGGGTTGTCCATATTTTTTTTACACAAAATTGTGTTAAAAGAACTCGGCATTTTTGTGTGGAGGATAGCTATAGGCCTATATCAACTGACGCTAAAGGTAAAGCGTCAGTTGGATGATGACCTAGGATCGTCATCAAACTGACATTAAAGGGTACCTGGTCAAAAGCGTCAGTTGGATGACGTCTTGGGATGAGAATGTGTTGAATTAAAGTTCTAGTTTCTGTCTTTTAAGATCTTTGTCTGACACAATTATGAGAGTGACCAGTAAAAACGCTGTTTGCTTATCTACAGTATATAAATGAATAAATAGTTATTCATTTGATGTATTATTATCCTGTTTTATTTTATTTGCTGTTCCTTTTTCCTATTCTGAATTGAAGTGAAATTAGCATGGTGTGTTGTGAAGGGATTGGGAATGGCATTATGATTATTTTGAGTAAATTTGAACACCACAATAAATTATAAATTAATCCACAAAATAAAAATATTTAGTGTTATACAATGTTACAAGGTTCTAACTACTTTAAGATACAGCAGATAAATATGGAAATAGTATAAATATCAGACACACATTGCACAAAAAAACACTAAGTAACATAGTTTGACTGTAACACTTTCCTGTCTCCCCTAATTGATTCATATCATTGAGTCAAATATCATAAAAATACAGATACACACATTTACTCTATTTGTCCCCTTGAATATCCAGCGGACAAATTCACAGTTCTCCAAGTTAAATAAGCATCCGAAATGAGCAGATTCTGCCAAACTGATGCATTGCTTGGTCAAGACCATGCTCTGTATATGCACACATTAATTCTTCTGAATAATTTTAGCAGTCAAGTTGTAATATAGGCTATAGACAGATTATTACATTTATCTTGCACCTAACATATTTTTTCTATTGTATTATTCAGCTTGCAATAATTATTATTCCTTGTCTTTCTCAACTTTTCGCTTATTAGTAATCTGCATTGTATGGTAATATGAACCCGTTTATCTGTATAGAAGGAGCTGAATCAGGAAAGACCCCCTACCGTGGGACACTGTAAACAGAAGCAGATCTCTCTGTGTGTGTTTGGGGGG